CGTCAGGATTCGTCCTCAAGGGGAGAGGTTTGTCTTAACTGGAACCGCAGGGCGTGTGAGAAGCCACCTACCAAATGTATCCGCTTCCATGTCTGCAGTAAATGCCGTGGCTCCCACAAGTGCACTGAATGTTCCCTGGCAAAGGGAGCTAAATGAAAAGATAGCTAAAGGTCCACGTTTTCGGAGATGGATGATTTGGGGAGATGACGGTACTGCTCTTAGTGGGACAGCAAGATGGACAGAGACTGCTGACCCTTTGCCATGTCCTCCTGCTTCTGAATTTCTTAATCTGTCAGCAATGAATACTATCGCCTCTCGACCTGACCTTTTTGCTGTCCGAACACCTGTCAATGTTGACAGGTTTGAAACACTCCTTAGGTTACAGTAACATGGCACGAGTCCCCCGCCAGCAGAGAGCCCTCTGCCACCCACACGGCTATAGACGATACCGGAGCCTCACCAGCTCTATAGACGATACTGGAGCATCACTGGCTCTGTGACAACAGATGATGACAGATGACGATAGACGATAAGCGGCAACTGCCGGCTTAGATAAGCGGTCTGGACCGCACGTGACGATACATGACGACATAGGTCTAGAAGACCTATTAATGTTATCAAGATAGAAGGCAAGCCTCGTGCTGCCTCATGTACAGATAGAAGGCAAGCCTCATGCTGCCCCGAGGACTGATAGATGATAGAAGGATACCTCATGGATCCTATCTACGATAGAAGCCCGCCTCATGGACGCTATCTCTGACACATGTAGATAAGCAGATTAGAACCCAGCTTTAGGCTGAGCTTAGATACGACGAGTAGCCTTATATAAGGTCAAAGATTAAAGTAGACGCTCCTTACTTTAATCTTACTAGGTTTACCCTTGAACTCCTTGTCCCGCTAAAGCTACCTGCTCGACATCGACTCGTACCTTCAGTGACGCCTCTCACTGTCTGTAAACCCTGCTATCATCTCAGTGTAACCCCTCGTTAACCACCACGAGCTACGTTCGAGTACGCAACCTTTGCTTGTCTGTAAAGGCCGACGACTCTCAGCACTCGGTACCACTGTCGTGGTTGTCGCTGTTAGATTATCCTAGTCGCACACGACCGTTTGTCGTAACACCTTACCCTCACTAATCACCCTAATCCTGCTTTCATCAAATCTGTTTGCCAAGGACTTCGTGAAGGGTTTTGGCCTTGGGCTAATACGCACTATGGAGTCTATCTGACTACTCTTGACGTTCCTTCACCTTCTCCGTCTTCGGATCAGGAACGGAACTTCCTGCGGGATCAAATCATCAAGGAGGAATCAGTGGGAAGATATTCTCGCAATTTTGGTCCTGACCTATTGCCAGGAATGTATAGCATGCCTATTCACGCTGTACCAAAAGATGGTGGCAAGTTTCGTCTTGTCACGAACCACAGTGCTGGTGACTTCTCACTTAACTCTATGATTTCGAAAGAAGACATCGCCGGAGTAACTCTTGACAACGTTCAAGATCTTGGAGATGCTCTTCGTCTTCATCGCCAATCTAACCCTCATGATACTCTTCACATTTGGAAAGCTGATGTGTCTGAAGCCTATCAACACATGCCTATGCATCCGCTGTGGCAAATAAAACAAGTTGTTACTTTCGAAGGTCAAAGGCGAATAGATCGTGCTAATGTCTTTGGAGGCTGGGCATCTCAGCGCATCTTTCACACCTTCATGTCCTTAGTTATATGGCTCGCAGTCTTTGTCAGGCTCACCCGAGCTTTCTTATATGTTGACGACTCCTTTTCCTTTGCCAGGATCGAAGATATGGCATTTTATGGGAAATATTGCAAGATGTTACCTCGAGATATGGTGTCGCTCCTGCTTCTTTGGGATGAGCTAGGAATCCCTCATGAAGAACGAAAACAAATCTTTGGATCACCTCTCCCTGTTATCGGCTTTGACGTTAATCCAAACTCTATGTGTGTTTCTCTCAAGGTCGAGTCGAAGGCTGCTTTGGTGCAAGAACTAAAGGATTTTGCCAAGCATAAATGGAAGAGGTCTTTGAAGGATTTCAAGCATATTGCTGGGTCTTTAAATTGGGCGTTGAATGTATGTCCCCTGCTGCGACCAGGGCTTGCAGCTGTCTATGAGAAGACTCGAGGCAAAACTAACTCGAAAGGGTTGTTGTGGATCAACTGAAGTATTGTCGAAGAACTTCTCTGGGCTGCTTTTCACTTGGAATGTTCTAATGGGATCTTCTTCTTCAAATCAGTGTCCTGGAACCTTGACTCGCTACCAAATAATGTGGTTCAATTTTTCTGCGACGCTTCCAGCACTGGACTTGGTTTCTGGTACCCGGCGCTTAATCTTGGCTTCCAATCACCCCTTCCGTCTCAATCACCTGTGGAAGACATATTCTTCTATGAATCTCTTTGTGTCTCTTCAGCTATTCATGACGCTGTCACTCGGGTACCACCTGATGGTAGACTCGCGGTTTTCACTGATAGCTTGAACACAGTCTTCATGTTTAATTCTTTAGCAGGTCTTCAGGCTATAACCGGCTCCTGATGGATACTGTTGAGGTTGTTCTAGCTTTTCAGATCGACTTCTGAGTTTTCCATGTCTCAGGTGAACAAAATGTGGTTGCTGATCATTTATCTCGATGGCACGCAGCAGATGCTTGTCGTGTTAGTCCGGGCCTTCGAGTCCTATCATTTGAACCCCCTCGAAATGTGTTGGGGGGAGTGCAAAAATGAATGTTCGGTCTTCAATGACTAAGCAGCCCATTCGGGCTGCTTGGTCAATGGAACATCTCATCTATGAACGTTCCATCAACCTTGGTCTAGCATTAGACCGTTCCACTAATCAAACCTACTCGTCGGCTCTCAATTCCTACGTCAATTTTTGCGATATTCATCATTTATCCCTTGATCCGACTGTCGACACTCTATCATTGTTTGTCACTTTCATGTCGGCGCACATTAGCCCTCGCTCTGTGGACAACTATTTATCAGGTGTGTGTAGTCTGATGGAAGAATACTATCCTCATGTCAGGGCTAATCGCCGTTCACATCTTGTTGCACAGACCCTTCGAGGAGCTAAGCGTCGTTTTGGGGTAGCTGTGAAACGAAAACTTCCTCTATCTCATGCAGACCTCTCTTCTGCTCTTGAAGCATTACCAACAACGCCGTCCCATGACGACCTACTCTTTTCTGCTCAGTTGCTTGACGGTTTTTACGGGCTTATGCGTTTAGGTGAACTAGTTTGGCCGGATAATCCTGCACTCCAGGATCACTCCAAGCTCATCCTACACACTTCACTTATCCTCTCCACAAACCATCACTCTTTCAATTTGCCGACCAACAAGACAGACGTGGGTTTCGAAGGAAACACCATTGTTATACAGCGTTCGAATGAAGCGGACCCACAGTCTGCCTTTGTGTCTTATCTTGCCTCTCGCGACTCCCTATTTCCTTTTAACAGCTTTCTCTGGCTTCGCGCAAATGGCTCCGTGCCTACGCGAAGCTGGTTTATCCGCAAACTTCGCGCATTGTTTCCTGGTTCAATATCGGGCCATTCATTGCGTGCAGGTGGTGCGACATCCCTGGCAGCGTCAGGAGTATCAGCAGAACGTATACAAGCAATGGGTTGATGGTCTTCTGATGGTTTTCATATTTATATTCGAAAGAATCCTGCATTGCTTCACGCTCTAGTTTTTAATGGCCGTGCAATTCACGATGGGTCTGGAACGAGGTCTAGTCCTTTTGCTACTGGATGACTTTCCATGGGCAAAATAATCCAGAATAGAATATTTCGGAGTCTCAAAAACATTACCAATAACGAAGATATGTTAATCTATACTAGAATAATCCCCCGCACGCTCAAGCAATAGATTTAGTCCAGATGGACAGTCCTGCAGTCCAGTACATCAGACTCCTTAATGAAGACGAGGCAGACCTTTTCGACAATGATGAAAGAGCTCGCATCCTAGCTGCTGAAGTCTTTGTTGAGCTGTCAGCCACAAGGGGTGGGGATATTCATAGTAAAAAAAAAACTCGACGACCCTGGGATGGACAGGCTGGTAACAGTGCAACGAGCGCGCGAAGGCAAAACAGACAGACTAGGAGCACGTGCCAAATCCATATTGAGGCATTGTAAGGAAATTTTCGTTGACATAGGGCAAGGATTGGTTGGAGACAGGCGCTAGGATGAATCGAGCAAGATTGGAGGCACCGGAGGATAGGAAGTTCATTACTGCACATAGACAATCGAGTTTGTCATTCTGAGCACAGGGTGTCATCTAAATAGAGCCAGGAGATAGATATTAGCACAATGGATGAAAGGTTGAGAACGTAGCTTGGTATCACTGCGCAAGGTGTTGTAATGCATGTCGAGCAAGGCGGATTATGTCAGCGGATATTGCTGGCGTTAGTGACCGAAAATGGATGGAAGTCGTTTATTTTAGTCTGCAAAATCTATTGGGGGGGGGGGGGTACCCCCCCCCCCCCCCAATAGATTAAGGTTTATTAGGGGGGGGTAGGTGACACATGTTTGCAAATTGACGGGAAATGAACAGCGGCATCGCGGCACACCTGCCTAATACGGTCAAATTTATGATATGATATTCTAATCAGAATATTTCGAGCCTGCGGAAAGTCATCCACTATTTGATTTGGTATGTTATCATGTATTTTTAGCGCGAAGTTTCTTAGTTCATCCTTGATCTTACTCCGACATCATTATTTTCATCCAATTCATCTCCCTCCCACATACTACCCTCCCTCCTTCTATTTGCTGGTATTCTGGCATTGTACGATACGTACTTAGTGTTTTGGAGTCGTTTGTCTCCGGAATCCATGGGGTCCCCGCGTCCTCGCGTCGGGGTCCCTTATTTGCTGGCTAAATTCTCGCTGTCTGCGTTCTATCGAGACAAGCGAGGACAATTAGCTTGTATTGCATGCAGATGTGCACGTGGCGTTGCATAAAAAACTCGCTCAGACTCCCCAAGTAAACGCCCAAAAATTCTCTCTGGCGGGGAATCGAACCCCGCTTTCCCGCGTCCATCTTGCGATGACAGGCGGGTGTACTATCCGATATACTACCAGAGACTTATAAGCGTAGAAATAGCTTTCCTCATGAATGGTACTCGTACATTAACACCACCCAATATCAACGTGTTTCTAACACCCGCATCTGTTGGAACTCGCAGCCATGGGGCGATTGGTTATGGAGCAACTACACGGCTGAGCTGTCTTTTTCTGAAGGAGCTTACCTTTATCAAAGTGTGTGGCTTTGCATATGGCATGCAGAGATCAAATTTACAAGACTTGAAGGCCGTATTCCTTCCACTCTGAACCGCTTTCATCATCCCTCCATGTGGGTCACGATGCTGTTCGTGCATTTTCAAGAATCAACACACTATCGGAAACTGGGATATCGTGTCAATCTGCATCTCCATATCAAGCCGGATCCATCAGAGCCATGGGAGCAGCAGACAGGATGGATGAAACCAATTTTGACGAATGCCCTGGTTATCTCCCATATAAGTTCGTCGCCGATATCATTCATTCCAATATGCTGTTTTCACTGCTTTGTCAAACGAAGCTCGTCAACCAGCATTTATCGATGTGTCAGATACTTATCGTAGACCTCCGTTCCATTGACGACGAGGAATGCAATCTTCTCGCACCAATTGCGCAGCCGTTCATGAGTCTGAAGGAGGTCGAGGGCTTCCTAACTTTTACTTCGGTTGCATGGAGCAGCCCATGTATGTTGGGGATACCGATCCAACGAAGCATCAGTGACCGGTGAAGTTGAAGGCCAGCACGAGAGAGATATGGACGGATTCGAGTTGTAGGGACGCCAGATGGTTATCCTAGCCATTCGCTGTGTAAATTTCAATTCAAGGACCACTAGTTATGCAGTAATAAGAAAATCTCGGATATTCCGTGGCGCGCGCGAGTCATGCAGGTTGTCATCCTTATTTGAACAGGTGTGTGATCATTGACATTAGTCAGAATCAATGAACGACAAAGTCTAACTTCCAATTTGGTCTGACTGCAGGAGATGAATTTCGTTGCTATCATTTCCACCATCTAACCGGCACATGGCTCAAACTGAAGAAAACCCCGAATTCTTCCCTTCGATCGCAGACGTTGTCGATAAAACCAATGCCGGAGATGAAGAAGATATCAGCGCTAAACCGATGGAGGAGATCGAGTCTCTTTGTATGCAGTGTGGGGAGCAGGTGCGTTCGCAAACATTCTCATTGCTGGTGAAATTGAATATTCACATCAATCAGGGAGTAACGCGAATGATGCTCACGTCCATCCCATTCTTCCGGGAAGTTATCGTGATGAGCTTCCGATGCGAACATTGTGGCCATTCAAATAACGAGATTCAGTCGGCGGGGAAGATTAGACGTACGCACTCGTTTCATCTTGTTGCTCGTACCTCCTAACATGAAATCTTTGAGACAGCTGAAGGCGCTATGTACACAGTCAAAATCCTTAATCGCAGTGACCTTGACCGCCAGCTCATCCGCTCAGAGTCTTGTGCGATCAATATCCCTGAATTTCAGCTGGTCCTTCCGCCTTCCCGTGGGCAGCTTACAACTGTCGAGGGTCTTCTCAGGGACATTGTTGCGGATCTCAATGTACAGCAGCCACTCAGGCGCATCCAAGATGAGAACGCATACGCTAAGATCCAGGAAATTATCGATGGCCTCAAGGAGATCATTGCTGATGACGAAGAGGAAGATGTAGAAGGAAAGGACAAGCTTGAGAAGAGAGACCTTTCGAAAGAGGATCCAGTTGCACGTGCGATCACTATTACTCTTGACGATCCATCTGGGAATTCGTTCCTTGAGTTTGTGGGCAGCATGTCTGATCTAAAATGGAACATGCGCACATACGAGCGATCGCTCGAGCAGAATCGGCAGCTTGGATTGGCACCCCCTGCAGAAGACAAGGAAGAAAATGCGGTAGATGAGACAGAACAGCAACAACCTGGGGGTCCGGACGAGGAAGTGTTCGAGTTCCCTGGTATCTGTTCGCGCTGCAGCCGGCCTCTTGTCACGCGCATGAAGAAAGTTTCTATCCCTTATTTTAAGGTTCGTATCGAAGGCACGCACAATCTTCATGTCTAACAATCCTACTGACAGGACACTCTTATAATGTCAACTAACTGCGACAACTGCGGATATCGGGATAATGAGATTAAGTCAGGGGCTGCAATTTCTGAGCTTGGCAAGAAGATCACATTAAAGGTGGAAGATAGAGACGACCTGAGCCGCGACATACTTAAAGTAAGTACTTCCTTTTTTCCCCGAGCTCTTTGACCTAAGAGTGTCCTGTAGAGCGACACGAGCGGCCTTAGCATACCGGAGATAGATCTCGCTCTTCACCCCGGCACACTAGGTGGACGTTTCACAACTTTGGAAGGCATTTTAGATCAGGTATACGAGGAACTCACCGAGAAAGTATTTAACACGGGAGACTCTGGGGTCGCAGATGTTGACGATAGAGCTGCGTTCCAGGAATTCTTGAGAAAGCTTAAGCAGGTGTGTTCTCCTACCATCGCGCGACTCTCGTTTTGATATTGATGATTGCTAAGGTCAAGAACGCCGAGATACCATTCACCTTGATACTGGATGACCCTCTAGCGAACTCATACGTGCAGAATTTGTATGCACCTGATCCAGATCCGAATATGGAGGTCGTCGCATACGAGCGAACGTGGCAACAGAATGAGGATCTTGGATTGAATGATATGAATGTGGAATCATATAGCGGCGATGGTACGACGGACGGTGATGTAAAAACACAGAGTTCATAGCAGTGAAAGTCTGCCACGTCGGTTCGGACCGTCTGCTCTGCAGACAGAGCTACTGTGCGTCATCTACCATCGTTCCTGAAAAGAGCAGAAATAATTATTAATATCCTACATCAACGCATCAAATTGACATGTTAGTACTAGGATTATATTGTAAAGAAGACGGCTATATCGTTGATTACAAGTGACTTCGACCTGCGAAACGGACCTAGTGTGTGCTGTCACAACGACTATTATTAGTCCACAGCTTTTGGAATCCAATCAATAACAGGTTTTCTTGGCTTACTATGCTCCCTATTATTGATGCGCCTTTCAAGAGAGTCTACTATGTTGAAGGCACAAGTGACACGAGGACTCACGGGATGCTAGCGACATCCGAAACCTTGGCCACGGAGTTTTAGGATAGCAAGGAAACACCACCTCCGTATCCAGAATCGCCCGTTCGCTGGCATACAGCAACTGGAGGAGTGAGGGCCAGACTTTGGGCAAGGTATTTGTTGATGATGACAAAGCTTCTTGTGGAGCATGTTTGCTGGAGGTAAGTCACCGCAGTGCCTTGCCAGCATCTTCACCATACTGTCACCAGTAGATATTTTCGTCCCTTTTCGCCCCACGCGTCCTCTCAAAGAGACGCTGTCATTCACTATAAAGGCTGGACAATCTGGACATGATGTCCTGTTTTTCTTGATCGCGATATACTGTTCCCCGGCAATGCTGTGCTGGTTATCCCTCGTGCTTGTCTTGGCGACTAATGTCGCTGCATTTACTGACTCACCCTCTCCAGAATCAAACGATTGTACCGTCTCAGTGCCAGGCACGTGCCTGGGTGAGAGCACCTGACATGGTTCCCGGCGAAGTCATCGCAGGGGATGTCAAGATTAAGCTCAGCGGACCGTGTACTGACACCAAGAGCTATGCGCTAGGCTTGCGCTATAAGGAAAGAGTATTCTGGAAGTCGCGGTAAGCTGTTTTCTCGCTCTCGTATCCTCCACTGAGCATCCAAACAGACGGGAAGATGCGCTGATTCTGGAAAGGCCTGAATGGGAATATAATTGGGGGTTGTACGAGAATAAGGACTCGTGGTCTATGCACGAGGAAGAACGAATTGCCTTTGAGATCAAGAGTCCTCTGGCCGGTGCAGGGGGGACAGGTGCGAATTGAGATTTTGAGTTGACTCAAAGCTTAATGCAGAGAACAGATACATTGTCGAGAAACTTCACGGCCCGGTTCGGAGTTCTGGTACCAAATACAAACTACCCTCCAGGATTAGACTGTCGTGCAGGCTGCATGTCTGACTGGGGAGCGACTCACGTAAGAACAGTCTTTATTGATTTTGTCTTGTGCTCAGTGTTGTTACAGAAAATATCCGGTGAATCGATTTACGAGTACTTCGTCGAAATCGGGTTTAGCAATGGTACCACCTCAGAGATACCTGCCGGAATGACAGCCTTTACCCCGTTCTACCTCTCGATGGAAAACAACGCACCCAGTGCTAACGTATCTCTATCTCCGGCACGCCTCTGTTTTAACATGAAACCATCAGTAGACAGTTTGCGGAGCAACTACACGATTGAAGTATCTTTTCCTGAAGGAGCATACGTCTATCAAAGTATGTCTCAGTGAAATGGAAACCTCAACGCAGTGATCTGATTGCATGCTTCTAGACTCGTCTGTGGATTTTACGGCCATTGTTCATCGGACAGGATATACGAATCGGACAGACATTCCTGTAGAACTGTGTGCGTTCTCGGCGAATGATATTGAATGGCATTCTCAGGAGCTTCAGAAAAAATCACAACCGGAAGTTCCACCGTTCGTCAGGGCATTGGTCCCCTCCGTGCAGCATTCAGAATTCTCTGAATTCGTAATACCTTATCCACCTCGTTCCCCATGCAGACAGATCAATTTTGCAGCAACTCCTGCATCCTTGGTTCACGAAAGCCACATTATTTCCACGTCCTCCGAACCGCTTTCATTATCCCTCTACGTGGAACACGATACTGTTCCAGATTTTTCAACCTACTATCAGAAATTGGGACATCTTGTCTATCTGGATCTCCTTATCGTGCCAGATCCGTCAGAACCAGATCCATCAAAGCTATGCGAAAATGAATTCGAGGAGCTACAATGGGAGAAGCAGACTATGGACGCGGATGAACTTGACTGGGTGCCCTGGACGCCGACACAGATTCGTCCCCAAACCCTTTCCGGCAGCACCAATGTGTTGTCAGTCATTTCAACGCAGAAGCAGGGACCTGTGGGATTGATGCCAGTCCACTACCTGTCTGATCAAGCTCGCCAACCAGTATTTGTCGATTTGTCGGACATCGCTGACCTTCGTCTGATGTTGCCAGAGGAACGCGACCTCATTGCTCCACTCACGCACCCGTCTATAAAGGTGTTTCCCAAGGGAGAAGAAATTCCACGCAGATATTTCACTGGCGGTGACATGCGGTACCCGATATACGTTGGGGACACCTGGGTCAGGAAAGTATTGCCTATGACTACTAAGGATCAGGGCGAGAGTGATGCTATGGACCACTTGCTCGTTGTGCAGTGATCAATTGATGTGATAATCCCAGGGGGTAGTCATAAATTCAACATAGTGTGTAGTGATTCACACACGATGAAATTTAAGTTCTCAACTTCTCATTTATATTTCAGTACGGTAATGTACTCAGTGTCGCCGACACACTGCAGATCCAGTCAATGATACAATGTCGTTCTTCTACTACCCAAGACTCGCACGCTGACACAGATCCTGGTCACAACCTGTGCTCCGGACTCTCAGCTAGCACGTTGTCGATCATTTGTCTATAAAGTAATCCAGGGTCATGGCGTAAGTCCAGACTCGGATAAGTCCAAGCGACGCTTTCCGTGCTCCCAACCATAAGGCTATCTGGCGGTATGAGGAACGGCGTGCGCGCGCCACTGAACGAGAATAAAGAAAGGTCGAGTAACCACAACCCCCGCAACGAAGGGAGCTTGACTCTCTCTTCGTGAGGAATGAGAGCCACAGCTGACTGTCCACTTGGATCCAAAAAATTCTCGGAACCCATAAGTCTACCCATGTCAAACGTACATACACAGGCATTCGGATTGGAACATGTGTCCGTGACGAGGTGGCGTAAATTTGGACACATGGACAGTAATGGAATCACTGGCAGGGGAGGGGGAGGCCGTCCCCACAGCGCTCACCGGCACAGCGCAGGAACCAAAAAAAATGCGCCCACTCCTGGCATTGGAATTCCTGATCTTCCGCATGGGCTAGAGGCATGGCGTGCTGCCGTGAAGCAGTGGGAGGACCCTGCAGCATCTATCGGAGGCAAGGCCCTCAAGGACTGGCCGGAGGAGTGGTATACTGGTGACATGCGCACGATCAACGGCGTGAAGCGGAAAATCCGCAAGGTCATCACCATAAAGTTCTACCGGTGCGTCACACTTCCACGCTGCTGATGTGGCTTCAAGAGGTGGTGCTTGACATTGGCTGTGACTCGGATTCACGTTGCTCCTCTTCTGACAGGCTGCACGGGGATGACGGAGTGTTTCTGGAGAAGTACCCTGAAGCAAACCGTGAGGCCGAGCCACTCTTCGACGCAATACAGCGCGGGCGCGAGGCACGCGGAGAAATCACTGGACGAACGAGCAAGAACGGCCAGCCAGAAGTCCGAGCATCAGCCTCGCGCTGACAATCACTACCTGCATTCAGTCTTCCCGAGTTAGTAGAGGAAGCCTCGTCCATCCACGCACACACCGATCCGTAGCACAACCATTCAAGACTCACGGACATTCCACTACCCCCACACGCACGCACACAAACTAGCTTCGAAGTTCTGTCTCTTACTAGTGCTGTCCTCCTCGTAAATTTGTTGTTTGTGTCGTAGATTCACACGCAGCTGGCGGGACTCGAAGAAGATAATTTGTTTTGTTTGGCCAATCGTTCGTCGAAAGGAACTCGAAACGCAAATTGCATTGCCGGCGACGAGAAGAAAGGAAGCGGCACGCACCGGCGGAACCCGAACGTCACGTGACCGTAAAACCGTGCTCCGCGCCCTCACTCGTCTTCTCGCCAACGATTATGTTGATCGGATAGCCTCGTTTGCGCAAGAACGGCGTGGTGTTATTACTTCTGCGCCCTTGGCAACTTTCTCAATGGATGACTACACTATGTTTGCATCCGGTTATGGTTTTGTTGTAAACAACTTGTTCGATGTCCTCTTTCCTCATTTCTAGGCTGGAAGATGATTCTTATGCATCGAGACAACTCCTTTTGTCCAGCGTGAGCGCCGACTCTTGCACTGTATGACAGTCATCGCCTGCCGGACTTCCAATACACTCGAGCATCTAGCTTTTTCTCTGCCGTCGTACAATTGTATGCCCGATTATCACAACTATGGCGTAAGTTTAGACTCGGATAAGTCCAAGCGACGCTTTCCGTGCTCCCTACCATATCTCGCGGTATGAGGAACGGCGTGCGCGTGCCACTGAACGGGAATAAAGAAAGGTCTAGTAACCGTCGCACCCCTGCAACGAAGGGAGCTTGACTCTCTCTTCGTGAGTCATAATATCCTACATCAACGCATCAAATTGACATGTCAGTACTAGGATTATATTGCAAAGCAGACGGCTATATCATAAGTGACTTTGACCTGCGAAAGTGAAACGGAACTAGTAGTGTGCGCTGTCACGATATTAATTGACTATTATTAGTCCACAGCTTTTGGTATCCAATCAATAACAGGCTTTCCTGGCTTACTACTATGCTCCCTGCTATTGATGCGCCTTTCAAGAGAGTTGAAGGCGCACTGGCGGCCTGGCACTGGGCAGTAACACGAGGATCTCACGGGACGCTAGCGACATCCAAACCTTGGCCACGGAGTTTTAGGATAGTAAGGAAACATCACCTCCATATCCAGAATCGCCCGTTCCCTGACCTACAGCAACTGGAGGGGTGAGAACCAGGCTTTGGGACAAGATGATGACACAGCTTCCTGTGGAGCATGTTTGCTGGAGGTCATGTGGTGTAACTCACCGCGGTGTCTCGTCGGCATCTTCACCATGTGGTACTAGTAACCAATGATATCTTTGTCCCTTTTGCCCCACGCGTCCTCTACAAGAGACGCTGTCATACACTATAAAGGCTGGACAATCTGGACACGATGTTTTGTTTTTCTTGATCCCGATATACTGTTCCCCGGCAATGTTGTGCTGGTTATCCCTTGTGCTTGTCTTGGCGACTAATGTCGCTGCGTTTACTGACTCACCCTCTCCAGAATCAAACGATGTACCGTCTCAGTGCCAGGCACGTGCCTGGGTGAGAGCACCTGACATGGTTCCCGGCGAAGTCATCGCAGGGGATGTCAAGATTAAACTCAGCGGACCATGCACCCAAGCCAAGAGCTATGCAATAGGCTTGCGCTATAAGGAAAGAGTATTCTGGAAGTTGCGGTAAGTTGTTTTCTCCACTGAGCATCCCGATAGACAGGAAGATGCGCCGATTCTGGAAATGCTCAAATTGACGTATAATTGGACGGTCTCGAATAGTGATTTGTCCCGAGTCCGGCCTATCCAGAACCTTGGGAATCCAGACTACTACAAAACAGAATGGAGGGCATATGAGAACTCAGTTCAGAATAAGGACTCGTGGCCTATGCACGAGGAAGAACGAACTGCCTTTGAGATCAAGAGCCCTCTGACCGTTGCAGGGGGGACAGGTACGAATTGATATTTTGAGTTGACTCAAAGCTTAATGCAGAGAACAGATACATTGTCAAGAAACTTCACGACCCGGTTCGGAGTTCTGGTACCTAATACAAACTACCCTCCAGGATTAGACTGTCGTGTACGCGGCTCCATGTCTAACGGGGGAGCGACTCATGTAAGAACAGTCTTTATTGATTTTGTCTTGTGCTCAGTGTCATTTACAGATAATATCCAGTGAATCAATTTACGAGTACTTTGTTGAAATCGGGTTTGGCAATGGCACCACTTCAGAGATACCTGCCGGAATGACAGCCTTTAACCCGTTCTACCTCTCGACAGAAAACAACGCACCCAGTGTTAACGTATCTCTATCTCCGGCACCCGCACGCTCCGTGTTTAACATGAAGCCATCAGTAGTAGACAGGTTGCGGAGCAACTACACGATTGAGGTATCTTTCCCTGAAGGAGCTCACGTTTATCAAAGTATGTCTTAGTGAAATGGAAACCTCAACGTAGTGATCTGATTGCATGCTTTCTAGACTCGTCCGTAAACTTTACGGCCATTGTTCATCGGACAGGATATACGAATCGGACAGACATTCCTGTAGAGCTGTGTGCGTTCTCAGCGAATGACACTGAATATCACTCTCAGGAGCTCCGGAACCAATCACAGCCGTTTGCACCGTTTATCAGGGCATTGCTCCCCTTCAATACTGTCCCCGTGCAGGTTTCGCCATCCTCTCAAGTTGCAACACCTCATTCAGTACCTTGTTCCCCGTGCAGAGAGATCAAATTTGCAGCAACTCCTGCATCCTTGGCTCACGAAAGCCACATCATTTCCACGTCCTCCGAACCGCTTTCATTATCCCTCTACGTGAAGCCCAATGTTGTTTCAGATTTTTCAACCTACTATCAGAAACTGGGACATCGTGTCAATCTGAAACTCCATATCGCACCTGATCCATCAGAGCCATGGGAAAATGAATTCGAGAAGACACAACGGGAGAAGCAGACTGTGGACGCGGATGAAGTCGATTGGGTGCCCTGGACGTCGCCAATGCAGACCCGTCGCCGAACCCTTTCCGGCGACACCAATATACTGTCAGTCATTCCAATGCAGAAGCAGGGACCTGTGGGATTGATGCCAGTCCACTACCTGTCTGATCAAGCTCGCCAACCAGTATTTATCGATTGGTCAGACATCGCTGACCTTCGTCTGATGTTGCCAAAGGAACGCAACCTCATTGCCCCACTCACGCACCCGTCTATAAAGGTGTTTCCCAAGGGAGAAGAAATTCCACGCAGATATTTCACTGGCGGTGACATGCGGTACCCGATATACGTTGGGGACGCCTGGGTCAAGAATGTATTGCCTATGACTACTAAGGATCAGGGCGAGAGTGATACTGTGGACCACTTGCTTGTTGTGCAGTGATCAATTGATGTAATGATCCCAGGGGGTAGTCATAAATTCAACATAGTGTGTAGTGATTCACACACGATGAAATTTAGGTTCTCAACTTCTCATTGATGTTTCAGTACGGTAATATACTCAGTGTCGCCGACGCACTGCAGATCCAGTCAACGATATACAATGTCATTCTTCTACTAGCCAAGTCTCGCACGCTGACCCATCGTACAACATACGGATCCTGGTCACAACCTGTGCTCCAGACTCTCAGCTAGCACGTTGTCGATCATTTGTCTATAAAGTAATCCAGGATCATGGCGCAAGTCCAGACTCGGATAAGTCCAAGTGACGCTCTCCGTGCTCCCAACCATATCTGGCGGTATGAGGAGCGGCGTGCGCACGCCAGTGAACGGGAATAAAGAACGGTCGAGTAACCGCACCCCCCGCAACGAAGGGAGCTTGACTCTCTCTTCGTGAGGAACGAGAGTCACAGCTGACTGTTCGCTTGGATCCAAAAATTTTATCGGAACCCATAAGTCTACCCATGTCAAGTGTGCATGCATAAGCATTCGGATTGGAAAATGTGTGTCTGTGGCGAGGTGGCGTAAATTTGGACACATGGAAAGTAGTGGAGTCACTAGCAGGGCAGGGGGAGGGGGAGGAGAGTAGTCAAACCTAAGATGGACATTCTTTATGTATGGCCTAACCAAAGAGACAAAGTGGAGACTGCGTCCAAATTTACGCAACAGTGGCTCAACACTCGTGCCGCCAGCAGCTTGTGATGTCAAAAGGAGACGTCGAAGAGAGGGGAGGCTGAGGATCTCAGCCAGTGCAGAAAAGACGTTCATGACGTGTTGGTGCGGCTGCCAAGTAATGTGTAGCTCTTCCAAAAAGGCAAGATGTATGTGCCCGGTGGGGAGTCCATCGTTTCCTCCGATGGACATATCGATATGGAAAGTAGTGAGGCATGTGAAAGCTGGCAAGAGGTTCAGGGTTTCTATTAGCGTGGGATTGATAGGGAAGTGCAGATCTGTGGTGCGAGAGGGGGTGTTCTGCGCGAGAGCGATCATGCGGAGAAACTCGTGACCAAGAAAAAAGTGGTGTCTCTTCAAGATGGGCGCAATGGTAACTTTAGTAAGATTTGGAGTCACCGCTAAGATGTCGTCCAGAGTCATTGAGATTGTAACCGCCTGCGACACTGAAACATAACACTGCAGGTGCAGAGATAGTATTAGCTCGCTAAGGCTGCGGTTGTTCGAAACAGCATATGCAAGCGCGAAGAGTTGCTTGCTCTGTAGAATGACAACATGGCGATAGAGGAAGTTGATGCCGACATTATACCAGTACCTGGATACTAGCACAATGTTCCTAAGGGTCTGCAGCGAAAAAGACCGCGAGGAACGATTGCCACGAGCAATGACAGTGGAATCTAGGAAATACTGAGTCGGTGGTATGGTGAACTCCATGATAACGCTGAGGATTTCAACTGGAATTTCGGTTATATGCGTCGGTGACAGAACTTGATGTATCTGAGCAGACGATGAGCAGTGATAGTAAGAAAGATAGGAAAACTACCTCTGTGCAGTCCGCATTCGCATCTATGTCCGACGCCTGATCATAGGCAATTGTGCTGCTCGGGTTCATCTTGGAAGCGTCAAGGCAAAATCTCAGTAATTGTTTGATTATTCAACGAGGTCGACTTACCAATAGTATAGGGTCCATGATGCACCCGCGAAGAATACGCTGACTGGAACAAAAATACGTCTTTTTATCTCTCCGCTCTCGGAGCCGTAGTGATGGATCTGTGACTTTGGAGTGCAATCGCGGTCCCGCGATGACTCTTCGCGACTAGGGATGTGAAAATTCTTGGCGTGAGGTATATGATGCGTGCATGGTCCCATACCTCACCCGGCAAGCTGTCGAAGGTCACATTGACAAAGATGCGGTTGTCCAGTAACGAGTTCTGTTGCCATCAGTACCCTCATCAAGCTGATTCGCTGACGTGCGAAACATAGAACGCCTGGAAACTTCGTCGTAGTAAATCCCACTATCATGGGAGGACTGCTGCTCAGAGGGTGCAAAAATTCATCAATTACTAGCATTCAGGTCCTGAGACAGCCGACTCGAATGCCGAAGGGCAGTAAGATGCTACAAGGAGCATTTTATCACTCACTCCCGCTTGTCCGGTTTGCTGAGGGCGACTGGTAAAACTTGAAGTAACATCTTGCTTAGTCACCAGGTACCAGAACAGGCCCCCCGGAGGCTGTGTAGCGCTCAGGAATTTATGCCGCATCACTACCGCACCACACCAAAACATAGATTTAACGACAAGCTTAGTATGGTGCATCAAAACAAATTATCAATTGGCTGAAATGTGCTACCTGTGCACATGCGTGCACTATTGTAGCAAAACAGAAGAAAAATCGACTCCATAGTTAGCCTTCGGAAAATATTTTGACTCAACGTCACTCCGAGTCAGCAGCACTTGTACCAGTTGAACAACTTCGCACATGAAATTGAGGTTTTCAACTTCTCATAGATATATTAGTACGGTAATATATATACTGACACTGTGGAAAGGAAAACCCATGAATTTAAGTAGGAGAAAACGTTGAAAGTCAATAGAGAGAGCCACTGAAACTAATGAGGTAGCGCAATGAATTGACGGCCATTGAATCCCCCGAAAAGACAATGGACATCAGTGGTGGAATCACTGATTGTTGTCGACATGGCCACTGAATTCAATGCGGCAAATCACTGACTTTCGATGGTGCGGCCACTGATTATTGACGACATAACCATTGAATTTGATAGGCTATAAGTATGTATTTAGCAAAAGAAAATAGCACCAAGTTATGGGTGACCACAGGTATACTACGTGGGAATGTAACATCCAGGATAATTTGGCATTGGCAGGGATTGAACCCAAGACCTCCGACAATGATAGCTACATCATTGTTACCGCTAGGTCACAGGACCATTTCTATATATCAACAATAATACAAATATATCCAACCGTCACATGACAAACAAATGCCAACATGTCTACCTTATCCGAGGAAGAGCGACAATTCCACTAAGTCAGTTTCACTAATGAAATTCATATCTCACCACTGAGATTCATTGGCTAATCTGTCACATTTTGTTGTTTTCTCCGCATCATTTCATAGGTCGCGCCCATTTTTTTTGGTGGTCCATTGAAATTCTTGTGTCATGCCATTAAAATTCATTGGCCTAACCGCCAGATTTTATTGTTTTATCTATCATATTTCATAGTCACATATCATTGTTTACACCACTGAGTGCTCACACTGGCAATGAAATCTATGGTATTAGCCGAAACAATGAATACTCTTGCTCGTGGATTCAGTGTTACACACATTGAGGCTCATTGGTTCAGTGCTCGAACCACTGAAATTCATTGTTTCTGCTTCCCACAGTGCTGAGGTAGTGTCGCCGACGCACTGCAGATCTAGCCAACGATATGTAATGATAGTCCTCTACCCAAGACTCGCATGCTAACCCGTCGTACAACATATAGATCCTGGTCACAACCTGTGCTCCAGACTCTCAGCTAGCACGTCGTCTATAATTTGTCTATAAAGTAATCCAGGGTCATGGCGCAAGTCTAAACTCGAATAAGTCCAAGCGACGCTCTCCGTGCTCCCAACCATATCTGGCGGTATGAGGAGCGGCGTGTGGGCGCCACTGAACGGGAATAAAGAAAGGTCAAGTAACCGCACCCCCTGCAATGAAGGAAACTTGACTCTCTCTTCGTAGGGAATGAGAGTCACAGCTAGCGCTGACCGTTCGCTCCGATTCAAAAATTCTCTCCAAACCCATAAGTCTACCCATGTCAAATGTGCATGCGCAGGCATTCGAATTGGACCATATGTGTCCGTGGCGAGGTGGCGTAAATTTGGACACATCGACAGTAATGGAATCACTGGTGGGGGAGGAGGAGGAGGCATACTATACTTGTAACGAAAATAATAGTGATGGTTCCTAACCAACGAGACAAAGTGGAGACCGTGTCCAAATTTGCGCAACAGTGGCTCAAGAACCGCACCATTCCCAACATCTCGTGATGTCAAAAGGAGACGTCGAAGAGAGGGGAGACTGAGGATCTCAGCTAGTGCAGAAAAGACGTTCCTGACATGTCCACGTGGCTGCCAAGTAATGTGCAGCTCTTCCAAAAAGGCAAGATGTATGTGCCCGGTGGGGAGTGCATCGTTTCCTCCGAGGAACATATCAATATGGAAAGTAGTGAGGCATGTGAAAGTTGGTATGAGCTTTAGGGTGTTTATTAGGCTGGGATTGATACGGAAGTGCATATCTGTGGTGCGAGAGGGGGTGTTCTGCGCGAGAGCGATCATGCGGAGAAACTCGTGACCGAACCAAGGGCGGTATCTGTTCAAGATGGGCGCAATGGTAACTTTGGTATGATTTGGAGTCACCGCTAAGATGCCGTCCAGAGCCATTGAGACTGCAGCCATCTGCGACTCTAAAACATAACACTGCATGCGCAGAGATAGTATGAACTCGCCGAGGCTGCGGTTGTTCGAGACGACACGTGCAAGCGCGAAGAGTTGCTTGCTCTGTAGAATGACAACATGGCGATAGAGGTAGCTAATGCCGACATTATACCAGCGCCTGGATACTAGTACAATGTTCCTGAGAGTCTGCAGTGAAAAAACCCGCGAGTGACGATTGTCGCGAGCAATGACAGGGGAATCTAGGAAATGCTGAGTCGGTGGCATAACAAGCTCCATGATGATGCAGAGGATTTCAACCGGAATTTCGGTTGCAATATGCGTCGATGACATAACTTGATGTATCTGAGCAGACGATTAGCGATGATAGTAAGAAAGATCAGAAAACTACCTTTGTGCAGTTCATATCTATGTCTGACACCTGATCATAGGTAATGATGTTGCTGGGGTTCGCCTTGAAAGCGTCAAGCCAAATCCTCAGTGATCGTTTAGTTGTTATCCAACGAGGTTGACTTACCAATGGTGTAGGATCCATGATTCACCCGCGAAGTGATACGCTGGAATAAAAATACGTCCTTTTATCTCTCCATTTTCGTGGGCGCAGTGGTGAATCTGTGATTTTGG